CTTAGCCTCTAGGGTTTAGGGTTTAGGGTTTAGGGTTTAGGGTTTTGTTGCTGCTGCAGGCACTTACCTTTTGTGCGTGTCGCCCAGCAGCAGCAAACCCTCGGAGCAGCTGCTGCTGCACAACTTAGCCTCTAGGGTTTAGGGTTTAGGGTTTAGGGTTTAGGGTTTTGTTGCTGCTGCTCCGTGAATGGAAAACACGCACAGCGGCTCGTCGTCGTTTGGGAGCCTCGTCCTGCTGCTGCACAACTTGAAGAAGCAAAAAGGAATAAAACCCTTAAAGAGAAGTGGCCCAGGACTTTTAAAAGATGCTCTTTTCCATCCTTCTAAACCCTGGCTGATTGTGGCTTACTCGCGAGGCATCAGGTCCAAACCCTAAACCCTAAACCCTAAACCCTAGCCTCCAAACCCTAAGCCCGAGGCCGGCGCGCTGCGCCCAAGAACCACCCCAAGAGGCCACCTGCAGCAAACCCTAAACCCTAAACCCTAAACCCTCGGCCAAGAGCCACGCCGCGACGCCACCTGCAGCAAACCCTAAACCCTAAACCCTTCTTACACGCTCTAGAGCTACGCTCTTTCGTGGGACCCTCGAGGGCTGTGCAAGGGTTCAGGGTTTAGGGTTTAGGGTTTAGGGTTTGGGGTTTGTTTGCAGGATTTATGATCTCTCGGCGAAGCAAAAATCGCCAGGAGTCAACGGAACAAGGCAGGCCCTAATCAATCAGCTTATTGGTAAGGGTTTAGGGTTTAGGGTTTAGGGTTTAGGGTTTAGGGTTTAGGGTTTATGCTGCACTTCAAGCCCACTCACACACAAGCCCTTTGCAGAAACTCGCACAACGAACAACCTCAACTCAGCACCAGGGACCCAGCATTTAGGGTTTAGGGTTTAGGGTTTAGGGTTTAGGGTTTAGGGTTTAGGGTTTGTGGTTTGCGCGCAGGGGTGGACGGCGTGAGCTCGGTGTCGATACACCCGAGCGGCTCGCAGCTGGTGGTTGGAAGTGAAAATTCAAAATTATATTTTTTTGATTTGGATTTATCTTTGAGGGTTTACAAAGTGTTTAGAGTTCACAAAGAAGCAATAACCAAAACCTCTTTCCACAAAACCCTCCCCCTCATGGCCTCCGCCAGCCTCGACGGGTCCGCAAACCCTAAACCCTAAACCCTAAACCCTAGGCGCTCGCGCGCTCGTAGCTCGCACACGACAGCCTCTGCTTTAGGGTTTAGGGTTTAGGGTTTAGGGTTTGGGGGTTGGGGTTGGGCGCGCTGCAGAGCAAAGCAGATTAAACTCTTGGGCAAACCCTAAACCCTAAACCCTAATTCCGGGTTTGAGTGCTGCAGAACTGTTCAAATCTTCTACTGCCGGGTGTACGATGACCTCATCACAAACCCTCTCATCGTGCCTCTCAAAACCCTCAAGGTAAACCCTAAACCCTAAACCCTAGTTCTTAGCCGTCGCCCTAAACCCTAAACCCTAGAGACTCGCCATGAGCCCCACCTCAAGGCTTTAAACCCTAGTGTTTTCTTTACCAGCAGCAGAGAGTGGGTAGGTTTAGGGTTTAGGGTTTAGGGTTTAGGGTTTAGGGTTTGTGCGGCTCTGCGTTCGCCGAGCGCCTCCCCGCGCTCTTCTTTCGCGCGTTCAACCCCGATCACACTCTCTAGGTCCCAGGGTTTAGGGTTTAGGGTTTAGGGTTTAGGGTTTGTGCTGCAGGTGTGCAAACCCTTGGCAGCAAAAGAAGGCGTCAGCTGCTGCTGCTTCCACCCGCAGCTTCCTTGGCTCTTTACTGCAGACCTTGGGGGGGGTTGTTCTCTTTGGTGTTGAAAACAAAAACATTTATTTATTTATTTATTTATTTATTTATTTATTTATTTATTTATTATTTATTTATTTATTATTTGTTTATTTGTTTGTCTATTTGTTTATTTGGCTAGTTACTTGTTTGTTTGGTTTGTTGCTCTCTAGTTCTTGAGTTTAAGCTTTTCTCTAGCTAGCTAGTTAGCGAGCTAGCTACCATTGCTAGCTAGCTAGCTAGCTAGCTACCATTGCTAGCTAGCTAGCTAGCTAGCTAACTAGCATTGTAGATAGGTGGCCGGACGGCTAGCCAGCCAGCTAGCTGAGCTGCAGCTAAATACACTCTCAGCCAGCTAGCTAGCTAGCTAAATGCCCAAATAGCTAGCTAGCTAGCTAGCTAGCTAGCCAGCTAGCTAGCTGGCTAAATGCCTAAATAGCTAGCTAGCTAGCTAGCTGCAACTGGCTAGCCAGCCAGATGCAGTAGACTAGCAAGGTAGTTAGCTAACTATCTAGCTAGCTACGGCCCCAGCTAGCTGGCTAACTACCTAACTCTCTAGCTAAGGATCTAGCTAGCTAGCTGGCTAGCCAGCTAGCTAGCTAGCAGAACTTCCCAAAGAGAGCGTGCAGACAAACAAGAAGCAAGAGTTGCTCGCCCGTGCTGCTGCAGCTGCTGCTGCAGGAGCTGGTGCAGCAGCTGCTGCAGCAGCTGCAGCTTCTGCTGCTGCAGCTGCTGCTGCAGCAGCTGCAGCTTCTGCTGCTGCAGCTGCTGCTGCTGCAGCTGCTGGTGGCCAGGCTGTAGGGTTCAAATAAGTCTGTGTAAGCGAGTCCGCGGATCCCAAGCCGCAAAGCCTAAACCCCAAACCCTCTTTTAGGGTTTAGGGTTTCGAAGAGGGAGCACTGCTCCTACGAGGGTTCAGGGCCATTGAAAACAATTTATAAAATAAAATAAACTTCAAAACTTGTCTAGCTGCTTCGGGTGTACATACAGCTTTCTTTCTTTGCTTCCAATAAGCCCTCTTACTCTCCACAAGAAACAACTCTTCCTTGCCTGTGCTGCTGCTGCTGCTGCTGCTGCTGCTGCCGCTGCTGCTGCTGCTGCGGCTCCTTCAGCTGCTGCTGTTGCGGCCGCTGCAGCTGCTGTTGCGGCTGCTGCTGATGCTTCTGCAGCTGCTGCTGCTGTTGCAGCTGCTGCTGCTGCTGCGGCTGCCCAGGCCTTAGGGTTCAAATAAGCTCGCTGGCTAGCTAGCTAGCTAGCTAGCTAGCCAGCTGGCCAACTCACTGCTGAGCTACGCCTGGCTAGCCAGCCAGACGCATTGAGCCAGCTTCACTCCAGCTAGCAAGGCTCGGCTAGCTAGCTAGCTAGCCAGCAAGCTGGCTAGCTAGGCCCCCAGCTAGCTGGCTAGCTAGCTAGCTAGGCCCCGGGCCAGCCACTTAGCAAGCTAGCTAGCTAGCTAAGTGGCTAGCTAGCTAGCTACTTGGCCAGCTAGCTAGCTAGCTAGCTAGCTAGCTAGCTAGGCCCCGGGCCAGCCACTTAGCAAGCTAGCTAGCTAGCTAAGTGGCTAGCTAGCTAGCTACTTGGCCAGCTAGCTAGCTAGCTAGCTAGCTAGCTAGGCCCTCTCACTTGCATTATTTGATAGGAGCTGAAGGATTCATATAGTCGAGTAAGGACTTTCTTTGCAAAAGTGAATTTATAAATTCTTTGAAGGCAATGCATGCGCGTGAAGCCTATTGTTTTATTATTTATTTATTTATTTACTTTATTTAATTTATTTTATTATTAATTAATTAGTTTATTTGTTTATTTGTTTGTTTGTTTATGCAGACGCATGCATGCAGAGAGGCGTTGGAGAAGCAAAGAAGAATCCCAAATAAAATGGCATTAAATGAGATTTATATTCCACCAAGAAAATTATTATTAAATTAAATTAACAATAAATAAATTAAATATATTTATTTTTAATTTCATTTCATTTTATAAAATGCTTTTTGAGCGCCAGAGAAAGAAGCAGACTTGGCTGCTCGGGTGTACGTACACCCCAGAGGCTGCAGCGTCGAAGCCGAACTTTTCCTTTTTTGTTTCAAATTTACTTCAAATGGATTTTAATTCATTTTAAATTGATTTAAATTAATTTCAAACTATTTTAAAACTAATTTAAATCAATTTTAAACCAATTTATGAATCAATTTCCATCCATTTCCATTGCCTTCGCGGCCCAGGTGTACGTACACCTCAGCAAACTCGACAAAGATAGCTCTCAGCTCGACAAGTTTCCACTGCTGCTGCTGCTGCTGCTGCTGCTGCTGCTGCTGAGGCTGCTGCTGCTTTCTTCCATTTGGAGCTGCTGCTGCTGTTGCCGTTGCTGCTTCAACGGCAGCAGCAAATGAGTCCCTGCTGCTGCTGTTGCTCTTTCTGTCGCAGCAGCAGCAGCAGCAAATGAGTCCCTGCTGCTGCTGCCGCTCCCCTTCCTGTTGCAACAGCAGCAGCAGCAGCAACCGAGTCGCTGCTGCTGCTGCTGCTGCTGCTGCTGCATTTCCCCACGAGCGGCGTTTCTGCTGCCGCTTTCACCGCGGCGGCCCCGCCCCCGCCCCCGCCGCTGCTGCTGCCGCTGCTGCTGCCGCTGCTGCTGCCGCTGCTGCTGCTGCTGCTGCTGCTGCTGCTGCTGCTGCTGCTTATTTTCTGTTGGCACTTAGCATCCAAAGAGCAGCATTAACAACATCTGCAGGAGTTATAATTGTTGCTTCTTCCAACTCTTTTGAATAAGGAGTTGGAATGTCTTTTGTTGAAAGCCGCACGGGGGGCATTATCAAGTCTTCATAACAATTCTCAACCACCTAAATAAATAAATAAATAAATAAATAAATAAATAAATAAATAAATAAATAAATAAATAAATAAATAAATATATGATGATTATTTAATTATTTAATTTGTTTAATTGTTTGTTTTGTTTGATTGAGTTTTTTTGCCGCACAGAGACTCGTTTTAGTGGTTTGGGATTGAGGGGTTGTAAACTAGGGTTTAGGGTTTAGGGTTTAGATCTTTAAGGACCCGTTGTTGAGGGTTTTGGGGTTTAACGTCGAAGCATTCAGAAGAGCGAGTTGAGGGTTTAGAGTTTAAGGCGAGTCGAGGGTTTAGCGTTAAACCCTAGGGTTTAGGGTTAAAGCCTAGGGTTTAGGGTTAAAGCCTAGGGTTTAGGGTTTAGGGTTAAAGCCTAGGGTTTAGGGTTGAAGCCTAGGGTTTAGGGTTTAGGGTTTAAAACTGCGAAGAGGGAGTTGAGGGTTTGGAGCGAAGCCTCTAAAAGAGCGCATCGAGGGTTTACGGCTTGCGTCGCGTGCGCAGCGAGAAGCTCGCTAGGGTTTAGGGTTTAGGGTTTAGGGTTTGCCTGTGCGTAGATTTCGCCTCCGATGCCGCCGGTTCTGCTGGACTCGTCGAGGAATAAACACCGTTTGGTGGTTTTGAGGGAGGCTCTGATGGTTTGGAGGTCCAAGGGTTTGAGGGAGATCAAATCCACCAAATCAGGGTTTACGCCGAGCTGCTGCAGCTGCTGCAGCGCAGCAGCAGCAACCTGCCGCAGCCGGCCGTAACACAGCACCGTCAAGTCCTCCCCAGCAGCAACTTTCTCCGCTTTTTCCAAAGACAAAGTGTAAGGGTTTAGAGGAATTAAATCGGAGTTGGAATAATTCAAAACGTGTTCGAAAAACACCACAGGGTTGTCTTCTCTAATTGCGGATTTTAGCAAACCACGCGCGTTGAAAGGAGTGCTGCACGCCACCAACTTCAAGCCCGGCACCGCCTGCGCAAACCCTAAACCCTAAACCCTAAACCCTAAACCCTAAACCCTGAAACAGAAACCCTGAACAGCCCGCGACACTTCGAGCTGAACCCTAAGCCCTCGGCACCCTGAACTCTAAACAACTGACAGAGCCTGGCAAGAACTGCGATGGAAACCCCAGCCCCAAACCCTAAACCCTAAACCCTAAACCCTAAACCCTAAAAAGCCCGGGACCCTTGAAGCTAAACCCTTGTCTCGGAACCCTTCGAGCTAAACACTAAACCCTCGGCACGGAACGTTCAACGACTGACAGATCCTGTCAAGAAACGCGATGTGAAGCCCAGCCCCAAACCCTAAACCCTAAACCCTAAACCCTAAACCCTAAACCCTAAACCCTCGGCACGGAACGTTGAACGCCTGCCAGATCCTGTCAAGAAACGCGATGTGAACCCGAGCCCCAAGCCCTAAACCCCAAACCCTAAACCCTAAACCCTAACACCCTCCCCTGAACGCTCCCCCCCCCTGAACGTGAAACCGCTCCCCCGCCCGCCAAACCCTAAACCCTAAA